TACAGGTCAGTTGAATCTGGTGACGGTATGCTCAGTTGTCTGACTAGCTCTTTGTTGTTCCTGGAATGTGATAAGAAAGAGAGAACCAATTAACTTTTATATATTTTGTTAGCAGAGAATTTTTAGTATTTGTTGTGATACTTTATTCTTCATGTTTGATATCAGAACCTGATTCTTTATGTAGAATTTCAATTATACCCTTTGTATAGAGGATATCAATAAGGCTCCATATATAAATAACTAAACTCACCTGTAAATTGGGGATTCTCTATAAATTTGTGCAAAATCTATGCCAAGTTGCATCTCAACAGATGAAGAGGTAATTTCCAACATCCATGTTGCTGGATTGTAGTTATCTTTGATCCCTGGTATTCCAGAAATGCCCTGGCAAAATAAGGAGCATTCTTCATTTAGGCAGTGTTTATTGGATTGTAGTCATTCCACATAGAATATTTTATGTGTAATCCAAAATTTTAGAACACTAGTTGTTGTTTGATATTGAATAGTTTACTCATACTTCTGGAATTCTCAAATCTCTGTGGAATATAATTATTGATTTTGGTCATTTTTATAAAACTGCAATTCGCATTCTCACATATAGTATTTTATGCGCACTTCAAAATTCTATGAATTTCTATACAAATACATGTGCATTCTTCCAAATTCGTAAATTTCTATAAACTATAATTAATGATTTTGGCTATTTTCGACCAAATCACAAATTGTTGTCTCACATAGAATATTTAGTGCATACTATAAAATTTTGGAATTTATGTGGACTATAATCCATGATTTCAGTTGTTTTCAACCAAATCCTAAGTTGGTTTTCCATTTATGGGCTGTTTGGTTGGCTAAAAAAATAAGAAAATCAAAAAAATAAAACATATTTTCTATAATAGGTTCTTCTCTTGTGTTTGGTTCACTTCTTAAAAGTAAGAAAGGAGATGAGATGAGATGAGTTGTCACCATATTATTGGATGATGTGGGTGATTTGTTAAAAAACAAATTTCATGACTTATTTTGAGGTTGTTTGGTTGGCTAAAAAAACAAGGAAATCAATTATAAGAAATCTATTTTCTATAATAGGTTCTTTTGTTGTGTTTGGTTTATTCTTAAAACTAAGAAAAGAGATGAGATGTGATGAGTTGTCATTATATTATTGGATGATGTGACTCATTTAGGGAAACACATTTCATGTTTTTTTAAGGAAATGGATGGAAATTAAATTTTAATGAGATGAGATGAGTTATCACCATATTATCGGATGATGTGACTCATTTTTAAAGATGAGATGAGATGAGTTGTCATTATATTATTGGATGATGTGACTCATTTAGGGAAACACATTTCATGTTTTTTTAAGGAAATGGATGGAAATTAAATTTTAATGAGATGAGATGAGTTATCACCATATTATCGGATGATGTGACTCATTTTTAAAGATGAGATGAGATGAGATAGATGATGTGACCCATTTCTTGTGTTTGGTTCATTTTTAAAAGTAAGAAAGGAGATGAGATGGGATGAGTTGTCACCATATTATTAGATAATGTGGGTGATTTTTAAGGATGGAAATGGATGGAAATCAACTTTTAATGGTTTCTAGGGTCCTATTTCCTTTTCTTTGATTTTAGGAAACCAACCAAACAAGCCCTTATATTACTTAATGCTACTCCAAAATTTCTAAATTTTATGGATTGTAATTCATGGTTATGCCCGTTTTTCACCAAATCATAAGTTGTCCAGTATAGAATATTTTATGCATACTCCAAGGTTTTCGAGTAACTGTGGACTATAACTCTGCATTTTTTACTTTTTCAACCAGACCTTAAATTTTTGTCTCACATGGAATATTTTTTGTGCTCTGAAAATTCCTAGTTTTCTTTAAACTATAACTCATGCTTTTGCCCCTTTGGACCAAATCAAAATTTATTATCACGCATAGAATATTTTATGTTACTTTAAATTTTTTAAATTTTTGTGGACAATGACACATAATTTTGGCTGTTTCAACCAAACCACAAGTTGTCATACTGGATAGGATATTTTATGCGTAGTGCGAAACTCCTGAATCTTTGTGGCCTAACTCATGATTTTTGGCATTTTTGACTAAATAACAAATTTTCGGGACACATATAATATATTATGTTACTTTGAATTTCCCGAATTTTGGTGGATTTATAATCCATAATTTTGATTATTTTTGACCAAATCATAAATCATTGTTCTACTTAGACTATTTTACGCGTACCAAAATTCATGACTTTCTCTGTAGTGTACTCCATGATTGTGTCAAGTGATTATAAACCCATGCTTTTAAGCATTAACGACCAAATCACAACTTGTTGTTTCACATAAATATTTTATGCATACTATAAATTTCCTAAAAATTGTGTACTGTGACCTGTAATATTGGTCATTTTCAACCAAATTACTATTATCATCAAATTTCCTAAAAATTGTGTACTGTGACCTGTAATATTGGTCATTTTCAACCAAATTACTATTATCATCCCATCCGAAATATAATATTTTATGCATAGTACAAAATTCCTGAAACTTTGTGGACTATAGGTCACGATTTTGACCATTTTCGACAAAAAATAAGAAAATTCGACGAACTTAGAGTTTATTATCTTTACTCCATAATTTATGAAATTTTGTGGACTATATAACCGATAAATTATTTTTCCATGTTGAGTATTTCATTTTTACTAAAAAAATTCATTAACTTCTAGAGGAATTTGTATAAAAGTGTAAGAAATTAGTTTTCTTGTATTTCTATAAAAATTTGTAGGAGAACTTTATAGAACTCAAAAAGTACTATTTTTCTTGTTTGTTGCTATTTCTTTGTTTGGTTCGAAACATGAAAATGAGTTCATAACTTTATAGAAAATTGGTTGTTTTCTTTTTCTTTTGTTTGGTTGGATAAAAATTTTTACGAAAAAGTGAAACTCATACAAGAATTTAAGCAATTTTAAATTTCTAGGCAATTTTAAATTTTAATGGAAAAATGGTATGGATGTACTTTATTACTATTTTAACATAAATGTCAGATTTCCTTGCAATTTCTGCTCATTTGGGGAGGGAGTTGATTTCTATAAAATAGTACACTTTTCCTACTTTATAGTGGAACCAAACACAGTTTATAAAAATCTACAGAAATCTATTATTCACAATAATGTCATTGTCAGGTGTTTTTCCAAAACCTTTCTATAAAATAGGTGAACCAAATAGTCCCTATAACCTATGATTGTCTCGTTTTTTACCAGATTGCAAGTTGTCATACAATATATAATATTTTATTCATACTCCAAAATTTCTAAATCTTTATGGACCAAGTTTCTATCTCTCATGTAATATTGTATGTGTGCTCTAAAGCTTCTTAAACTTATGTGAACTATAACTCATGATTTTCATCATTTTCGTCTAAGATGCAACTTGTTCTCCTGCATCAAATATTTTAAGTGTATTGAGTATTCATAAATTCCCAAATTTCTGTAGATTGTGGCCCATGATTTTGGCCGTTTTTAGCCAAATCACAATTTCCAGCTCACATAAAATATTTTATATGTTTTGGCCCATGATTTTGGCCGTTTTTAGCCAAATCACAATTTCCAGCTCACATAAAATATTTTATATGTTTGTCCTAAATTCCTAAAGTTATTTGGATTGCCAATGATTTTGGTCATTTTCAAGCTAATCACAAATTGCCTACTTCTAAAAAAATTTTATGCTTATTACAAAATTTATGAACTTCTGTAGATTATAGCTCATGATTTTGGCCGTAATCAACCTAATCATAAATAATCATTCTACATAGAGTATTTCATCCGTATTTCAAAATTCCTATATTTTTGTGGACTATATAGCCAGTTTTTTACCAAATCATACCAAATCAGTTATCGTCTAGTATAGAATATTTTATACATACTAAAAAGTTTCTGACTCTCTGTGAACTATATACGTAAGATTTTTGAACTGTTCTACCAAATTACAAGTTTTTAATCTCATATAGAATATTTTATGTATGCTCCAAAACTTCCCAAACTTATATGAACTATAATCCATGATTTGGTTGTTT